ATGTGTTTGTGAAAGAAAGAAAAGCTGCCAAATCAAACTGAATGATTAGTTGGAATTGTTCTTCTTTTTTTTGAGACGGAGTTTCGCTGTTGCTACCCAGGCTGGAGTGCAATGGCGCCGATCTCGGCTCACCACAATCTCTGCCTCTGGGTTCAGGCAATTCTCCTGCCTCGCCTCCAGAGCAGCTGGATTACAGGCACGCGCCACCATGCCCAGCTAATTTTTTGTAATTTTAGTAGAGATGGGGTTCACCATGTTGACCAAGATGGTCTCGATCTGTTGACCTCGTGATCCACCCGCCTCGGCCTCCCAAAGTGCTGGGATTACAGGCTTGAGCCACCGTGCCCAGCCTGTTCTTCTTTTTATTGAGACGGAGTCTCCCTCTGTCCCCCAGGCTGGAGTGCAGCGGCACAATCTTGGCTCACGGCAGCCTCTGCCTCCTGGGTTCAGGTGGTTCTCCTGCCTCAGCCTCCAAGTACATGGGACTATAGGCATGGGCCACCAGGCCCCGGCTAATATTTTTGCAATTTTTAGCAAAGACGGTTTCACCATGTTGCCCAGGCTGGTCTCAAACTCCTGTCCTCAAGTGATCTACCTGCCTCAGCCTCCGAGAGTGCTGGGATCACGTGTGAGCCACCATACCCAGCCTCCATTTGTTCTTTTAATATCTTCACTTCTTTTTATTTGTACTGTCAGCTGTTAGCAGTTCCTGTAGATAAGGGGCAGCATGTATATATGTGTGTGTATATATATGTGTATATATATTGTATATATTATACACAGACACACACACACACACATACACACACACACGTATATGTGTGTGTCTCTTTCTGTGTGCATATTTAGGCACAAGGCTTTGCTGTGTCACCCAGGCTGGACTGCAGTGATGTGAGCGTGGCTCACTGCAGCCTCAAACCCAGGGCGCAAGGGATCCTCCTGCCTCAGCCTCCTGAGCAGCTCTACAAGTACATGCCACCACGCCTGGATAACTTCTTATTTTTTGTAGGAACAGGGTCGTGTTATATTTCCCAAGCTGGTCTCTAAGTCCTGGCCTCAAGAGGCTTTCCCGCTGTGGCCTCCCAAAGCACTGGAATAACTAGTGTGAGCCATGATGCCCAGCCCACAAAACGTATCTAAGAACAACGAATACGGTGAAAAATCTGCCAACTGAGCAAATATTCGAACAATTTGTGCTAAGAAATTGATGATTGCTGAAAATGCATGCTGCATATCCGTTCTTAGCTAAGAAAACCTGTTGTATATGAATGGAACACTCTGGAGAAATTGGGAACTCTTTTTTGGGTCAACAGCTGAGAGGTACTGAGTTCACTCAGTGCCTGGTCCATATCAGTGCACGACTCTTGGCCGCTTTGTCTGAATTTATAAGAACCATGCATGTGACACACAACTGCACCTGTAAAGGGAAGGAGTGGAAACAATGGGCTTCAGTTTGATTCTTTTCCTGAAGTGTCAGCCATAGGCGGAAGTTGCTGAATGTATGGTGTATATATATATATATGTATATACCCAAGAACAATAACAGACTTAGAATTCCTGCTGGAATATTAACGGATCAGAGACCTTCTACAGGAGCCAGCTGAGAGCCAAAGGGTTAGGGCTTTTAAGCAGAAATAAAATGCAGAAATGTTTTTCTTTTTTAAAAGACTGGTGTTAACAATCAATCACGCAGCGAGTGCCTTTGCAAACCAGCAAGTGTAATTTTTCTTTGTCGAAGGCTTGCTGGAAGTCACTCAAGAGAATCACTGGTCTTGTGTCCACTTTGGTGCTACGCGCCCAATCAGAGCATAATGACAGTTTGTGAAGGCAAAAATCCTAAAGAGACACGTGGCTGCACTGGCTGAAATATTAAGACAAAAAGAAAAGGGTTGGGAGCCAGGAACTCATAGGACAGCCAGAGTCTCAGCAGCTTCGAGAGCCCATCTGGAGATCTGCCTTTTCACGGAGGAGCAGATGCCCCACAGTGGCCTTGATTCTGCCGTGGCAATGGGGCAGACAGGATGTCCCACCCACGCATCCACTACAAATACTGAGGAACGCTCAAGAATGTCACAGAAACCCTGTGAAATGAACACTGAAGCTCATGGAAGGGGCCACAAATCCCAGAGGGTGCTGGAGGGCAGCGCCAAACCCGACTTGTGGCTGCCCTGGTGTCCTCTGCAGTCTCCAGATGACTCGGCTCTCAGTCACTCTGCAGGGAGAGGACAAAGGGCTTTGTGTGGGAATTGGAACTGAGTCCATGCTTAAAGAGCACAGGCTCAGAAGGGGAGAGGTCCAAGGAAAGAGGAAACTAGAAAATATGTCCGCGTCGGCAAATGGAGAGCACCAGGGAGCATAGATAGCTTTCTCCCTCAGAGCTCTTTCCACGGGATGTCTCACTACATAGTGACCCCGTTTACCCCTAGGAATTACAGTTCTGCTACCTGTATCTGGGACACCTTAAACTAAGAAGCTAACCTGAAGTGATCCCAGGCTGGTGGTGGCCTGGCACACCTGGCAGAAGCAAATGCAAAGCTTTCTGTATAGACTCTCCCAGACTGGGCCCCCGGGATTAGGTGGCAATCCCGGCACAGACGTAAAATGGGCGGGGGAGCCCCACAGCCCGAGGAAGCGCCAGCAGAGACAAGCAGCAGCCGCAGCACGTGGAGCCCCCACAGCAGCCCGGTGCTGCCAGACACAGACGTCAAGGCAAATGTCTGTAGAATCTACGCTAAAGATCAAGGGAGGAAATTAAAGGACAGAGAAAACGTTCTGGGTGAATTTGAAAAGGAACAGACAAAATGAAGGTAATCTTCAAAATTAAAGCCGAGTGTTGTGTTACGTAGGACGGAATATTCAGCTGTAGAGAAAAGTCGTGAACCAGACAAAGAATGGACCCAGATGGTAACAAGAAAGCATGACATGTGAAGCGGGAAGGAGGCTAGAATGAGGCGGAGTCATGCAGCTGTAATTGGAGGTGCAGGAAGGGAAAGAATGGAGGGAAGGGAAGGTTGGTAACGGCAATCGTCGTGAATTGCCCTCAACTTGATATGGCTGCCAGATACAACACCAGACACCCGGTGAAATCTGAATTTTCACATAAACTACGAATAATCATGTCCCAAGTATTGCATGGAATATACTCATATCAGAGAAATTATTTGTTGTTTGCCTGAAATTCAAATTCAGCTGGGCGTCCTGCATCTTTATTTGCTAAGTCTGACAACCCTGGCTTATGAAAGACACAGTGACTATATTTAAGATGCACAGCAAATCCCCAATATGATGAGCCAAATAAATCTCATAGCTAGACATATCACAATGTAACTGGAGACAGAATAGTTCTTAAAAGCAGAGAGAGAGGGAAAATATCCCATCTGAAGGGAGAAATTAGGCCCCGTCAGACCCTCCAGCAGACTGTGTGGGAGTGGAATGAGGTCCTCAGCACACTGAGAAAAGTCACTGTGATTCCATTGCTCACGATTCTCCAGTGGCTTCTCCACAACGGTCTACACAGCCTGGCTCCTGGCACTTGGACCTCATCTCCTCTACCCCTGCCACGCCGGCCTCCTCGCTGTTCCTCAGACACACCGTGCACTTTGCACAGCGCTCTCTCACTCTGGAATGTTCTACCTGACACGCACCCAGCTGCCTCTCCCACATCACTCATGGCTCCCTGAAATATCACCCTCATGAGACCAACGCCCACTGACGGGCCCCTGAGACAGCAGCCCAGCACACTCCCTCTCTGCTTTCTACCCTCTTGTCTTTCTGTGCAGCTTTTCCTACAGCCTGAAATTTTAATATTGATTTTGTCTTTACCTGATTATTTTATGCTTCCCTCCAATAAAATGTCACGAAATAAGAACTCTTTACAGATTTGCTCACTGCAGAATCCCCAGTCGTAAAACAATGCCTGCCACATGGTGGCCACGTAATGTCTATGGGACGAGGGGTCACAGGTGCATCAGGACCAGTGATCACTCATGAATCAGGCAAAACAAGGGACATTTTCAGATGAGCTGAAACTGAAGGGTTGACTGCCCCGTCTCTTCATGCTCGTCACGTAGAAGGAAATTGTCTTCAAGAAGAAAGGCCACGTTTTGAGAAAGCAGAGTGAGCCCCAAATTCTGGGTAAATTTAAAACGTCTAAAGTAAACACTGGCGACGTCAGCAGCACAGCAATAACCATTACTAATCCTGAGGGTGAAACAGCTTAGATAAAAATCCTGGCAGAAGCCAACACAATGCCATGAAAGATCGGGGAAGAGAATTTGAACTAAAAGACTCTGAGTTCCTTGTAGAGGACAGTGAGGACACTGACACATTCCCAAGTTGTGAAAGAAAACCTCAGGTTAAAAGGAAAGTTATTTTCAGATTTTATACATATATATATATATATATATATATATATATATATATATATATAATGTCTGTTTCTTAGAAGAACACATTGAAATGTAAAGATTTAGAATCAGCAAAAGAGAAAGAATAGAAACAGATATACCGGGCATGCATTAACTAAAAGAAAGCTGCCGTACCTCTTAGATTTAATGGATTGAAAGCAGAAAGCATTAAGGGTATAAAAATAAGCATCACTGGTTAAGGATTTTAAAAAAGCAACCAATTCATCAGAAAGAGAAAAATTACCCATAAATATTAGAAAATGTATAATCAATCTGGGATATTTTAAACACAGTTCTCTCATTTTCTCATGCAGTGGTCCCCAACCATTTTGGCACTAGGGACCAGTTTCGTGGAAGACGATTATTCCAAGGACTGGCATGGGGGTGTGGGTGGGTTGGATAATTCAAGTGCACTACACTTATTGTGCATTTCTTCTCTTATTATTACATTGCAATGAAATAATTATACAACTCACCATAATGTAGCATCAGTGTGAGCCCTGAGCTTGTCTTCCTGCAACTAGATGGTCCCATTTGGGGGTGATAGGGGACAGTGACGGATCATGAGGCATTATCATCACAAGCCGCTGATCTGACAGGAGGCGGGGCTCAGGCGGTCATGGAGGGACTGGAGCAGCTGTCAGTTCAGAGGAAGCTTCGCCGCTCACCTTCTGCTGTGGGGCCCAGGCCAGAAAAGCCCAAATGCTGAGGACCCCTGATCTAATGGATCAGTCTGATTTTACATTTAGTGAAAATGTAGAATATATAAAAACAATTTTGAAAAAGAGTTCTAATTAAAGGCATTGCTACATTTATGCACCTCACATAGAATTCCCAAGCACATATGGAACATTGAGGGAGAATAATGAGGATTTCCTAGGTCGCAAAGGAGGCCTGGCTTAACAGATTTCAAAGGAAAGGTAGTAATACAGGCTACAGTCTCTGACACACGCAACTAAATTAAAAATGAATAGCTGTAAGAAAACAAAAAACTATCATACAATTGGAAATCTTCCAGCACTTTAAAAAAATAACTCATGGAAAAAAAGAGAATTAGGGTGAAAATAAGAAATGCTTAATTACAATAACACTAAATTTTATCAAAACCGGAGGGATATAACCAACGAGAATTACAGCCTTCGTGTTTAGATTCACAGCTAAAGGCTACAAATAAGACAGTGCTTTTCTGTACCTCGAGAATTTTTTTAAAAAATGAGTCAAACATAGGGAATCGTGAACATAAAGACTTAAATGTATGAGAGAAAAAAATAAAGCTACAGTGGAAAGTGTCCACACAAAGGCTAGTAATTTGAAAAAAAATGCAAAGACCTTTGCAGATATCGGTTACTAAAATATATGGAAGGAAAAAGGAGACATTACTAGAGATGAAGCGGAGACTGAGGACTTCCTGAGACAGTTCTGGGGAAGAGGCTGGAACGCACGGGGCCTCTGGGACCCCGTGGGAGCACTTACGTCCCAGACTCATTGCCAGATACTTGACCTTGGGCAGCCCTGCCCCTTGCTGTACTTGGGCGTCCTCTTCTCTGAGTCAGGGATAAGGAGAGGACCTGCTTCATCGGATTCCTTGAAGACTAAATGTGCATATGTGAAGCATTTAAAAGTCCCTGGCACGTGAGTAGCACTGCGTAACTCATAGCTGTCATTATTAACAGTAATGCAATTTCCATTAGCTGGAAGCTTTAAGGGGCTCTCCCACTCCATAACAGTTGGACTTGGGGTATGAGGCACAGGCAGGAAACGGGGTTCAAAAGAAATAGGGAAGAGATCCAAGGGCCTTTTTGCTTAAAAAAAAAAAAAAAAAGAGGCAAAACACAGACGAATGCTGAGCCTGGAGAGGCTAGGGATGGTGGGGACCAGGCAGTTGGAAGCCGTGGCTGCCGCGATGAGACTCTGCGGAGACTGACTGAGCAAAGAGATGTGAGAAGACACTGGACTGCATGCCAGGAGACAAACATGGAGGTACAGACGAACGGTGACATTATCAGACAATGGAGACGGTTCTCTAATTTCGATGGAAAAGTATGAATTCATAGATTCTGCTCAGCATATTCTGAGCAGAATAAAGAAGAAATTCCAGGCCCGTGTGTGTGCTGAATTGTGTCCCTGCAGAGTTCATATGTTGCAGCTCCAAACCCCAGTACCTCCGAACATGATGACATTTGGGGACCCAGTCCGTGCAGGTGCAGTTGGTGAAGATGCACTCACGCTGCAGTGTGGTGGCCCCCAATCCAATGACACAGACGCATTAGGGGAAAGGGGCATTGACACACCCAGCTTCCCTGTAAGGAGATCCCGGAGTATAAATAATTTCTATTCATAGGTACATGCACACACACCGTATATGGGGGAGACAGAGCCAGGTAAAGAAATGTGGCAAAAGGTTGCAAAGTGGCGAATCCGGGTAAAGGGCACATCCGAGCTCTCTGCACTTTCTTCAACCTTTCTGTAAGTTTGAAATTACCTTTAAATAAACAGGAATTTTTTATTTTATAAATTTAGGACAAACAAAATATAAAGGAGTCGAGCAACACGAAGAGCTTGATCTGATGGATAAACACAGGATGCCGTGCTCAGTAACCAGAGACCGCGCCTTCTTCCCAAGCAGACACCCAGAACATCGACAAGAATGAAAGTCAAAACAGTCAGAGTCACTGTTTTGCTTAGATACAAGATCGTCCCGTCAACGGCATCAAAACAGAGGAGAGAAGCGCACACCAAGAGTCACTTCCAGCATGACCCACATGGCGACACGGATCCTGTGCCACGTTCCACAGTACCACGCTGCATGGGGCCCACGGTCCTAGTCCCAGTCTCTGCGACGCTCAGTTGGCTGCAGCGGTTCCTCTGCCCACACGCTACATGTTCCTTGGCAATGCCAGCCTGCAGTTGGCACACCCTTCCTGGGATGGTTGTTCACATTTCTTAAAAATGAAAAAGCAATCATCTAAGCGTGAAAAAATGAGAGTAGGGAATGAACTTGGACTCCTTTACATGCTGTTTGTTTAACGTGGCCACTTAATATCTCTAATGGTTTTGACCCTGTGCATTACAAACTCAGAAAGATGGATGCCCTCCCAGTGTAGGCGAGTCCTGGCCTTGCTTAACGTCAGCTTCCTTGTTTTGCAAACCTGAGGACAATACTAACGCACCTCAAGCTAATTGTGAACAACAGCCAGGTCCTGAAGCCCCTGACAAACACAAAACACATTTGTAGTTTAAATACAGACACGGAGCAATTCACCTTTTGCAATTAAACCAGGAAATCTTCACTTGCATATGAAATGAGGAGCCCCGCCCCTGCCCACAGTGACCCGGTGACTGGTCCCCAACTTCATCCACCGGTGCCACTACTGCCCAGAGCACTTCTAGAAAGACACCCTCTCTTATGACTTGAAAATATTTCAGAACTTCAAAACAAAGCACAGGCTTCCAAGAGGACACTTGACGAGGTTACACAGGAAGTGCTATCCATCCACAATTCAGCCCCGTGCACGTCCAGTTTCAGACGACCCCAAAGCAGGAAGTTACTCCTTTCCTGTGCAAAGAAGCCAGATTTAACCATTCTCATAGCCCCAGATCAAGCAGGAAGTGACACACATGTACAGAGTCCAGAGGGACAGAATGCTTTCCACAAAGAATGCAGACGGCTGGGCAGAGAATGGAGATTAGGACACGGAAGTCACACAGACGTAAAGAAGGAAGACCATTCCAAGGCTCATGAGAAGTTAGCCGCAAAGAAACTTCACAGAGCATCTGGGAGTTGGCATTGTAATTAGTACAAATTCCTGATCAAAATGCAAGCCCTGGGCCCCACAGAGGCTGGAAGGAAGTTCAGTGCTTCCTCTGAAGCAGCAAGAAGCAGGCTCTGGGGGAGCTGGCCCAGGACAGCAGCAAGCGGGACCCCCAAGTGGCACAGGAGTAACGTGGACAAGGCCAACAGGAATGGTCCAAAGAGACTGAGTTCCTGGCCCCAGCTAGGGCCAGGCACAGGCAACTGTTCTTTAGAGAGGAGGACCTAGAAATTCACACCAGACTCAAATGCTACAGCTGGTCTTTGCACGTAGAGTGAGGTGTACACGTAAATCACATCACAAAGTGTAGATTCAACTGACGTCAAAGTAACCTCTTTGCTGAAAATTTAAAGACCCAAGTTAGAAATGGACAGTGAGACCTCTCTGTGATTGAGCCCCTCTGTGTTTTCCACGAGTGATGTGGAGGAACGCATTGCTGTCCATGAGTGATCTCAGCGCAGTCTGGGGAAATGTTGCTACAGTTCGAAGGGTCAGAGCTCCCAGCCCACCGACACCGTCTGGATTTGGGGCACTGCAGAGGCATGCCTGGACCCGCAGCGGCCTGCCTGGGCTTCCCTGATGAGCCTCACTCCCCTGCAACAACAGCAGCAGTCCTGCCTCTCCTACTGGGGACGGCCCCAGGGGGCCCTCCACACAGAGCTCCGGCTGGTGCTCTGACAGAACGTAGATGAGGAAGCTCAGGCGAGGAGGCCACCTGCCTGGGGTCGCCCAGCGAAGATCTCAGGGGGCCCTGGCGGCCGGGCTCAGAGCCCAGGGGCAGCACTTGTCTGAACTAACCTCCCCCTGAGCAGCGCCCCTGCCCACTAACGTCCCCTCTGCCCACAGCACCCCAGGCCATGCAAAGAACAGTAGAATCTTTCCATGTAAAATGGGAATTTGGTATTGGGGTTTGGTTTTTTTGGTTTTGTTTTATGATTATGATTAGACTTCTTAGAAGAAACTAATGAAATCTAGATGAAAATATCCATTTTAAGGACCCTTTTTCAGCCTAGTTTATATATATATATATATATATATATATATATTTTTTTTTTTTTTTGAGATGGAGTTTCACTCTTGTTACCCAGGTTCAATGCCACGATCGCAGTGGAGCAATCTTGGCTCACTGCAACCTCTGCCTCCTGGGTTCAGGCAATTCTCCTGCCTCAGCCTCCCAAGTAGCTGGGACTACAGGCACACGCCACCATGCCCAGCTAATTTTTTGTATTTTTAGTAGAGACGGGGTTTCACCATGTTGACCAGAATGGTCTCGATCTGTTGACCTCGTGATCCACCCGCCTCGGCCAGCCTAGTTTATATTATGTCCTGCAAAGACATTATAACTGCTGGGAAGTTGACCGAAATGACTCCATTAGCCTAATCGTGTGTGTGTGTGTGTGTGTGTGTGTGTGTGTGTGTGTGTGTGTGTGTGTTTTAAAAGCAAATCTCAAGGCTTCTGTGTGGCAGTGCCCTCAGTGTAAACCGCACCTTAGACAAGCTGCCAGCAGGCAGATTTCAACAGCGGGACCCAGGCCATGGCTTTTGCTGTTAGGAGGTGTCCAGCAGCTGTGTCTCAAGGAAAGGTCTGAGTGAGGAGCCAAATTTATGGTCTAAATTCAGCCCTTGTAGCAGCCACGCAGGCTCTGGCTATGTCCCAGAAGGCTTCCCTGAGGCCGGATCTGATGGAAGCCAGAGTGATGAAGAGTGACGGCCGGACACTTCCTCGTCCCACAGCGGCTCTGGGACTCTGGTCTCACCGTCAGGAGGTGCCCTTCTCACTGCAGAGCTGACCTAAGTACACAATGCTTTGGAAACTACAAAGCTTAGCGCAGGGTTTGAGCCCTGTTAGTTTCAACAAAGAGTGCAGCCCGTCAGGGAGCTGGAAGCGTCTCACACCCTACAGCAGTGGTGAGAGCTGCATGGCCAATGACGATGTTAGGAATATGACCTATTTATTTTAACAGTCTCCTAAAAATTCATTCCAGAGGCAAAATTCCATTCAAGTTCAGGGGGACAGTAGCGGCATGTTGATGGTGGTGATGACGAAGCTGAGTGGCCTCTGAGTGGGAGAACCGTGGATGGGCTGCGCATTCTGAGAGCTGGGTTCTCAGGTGAGGATGCTCAAGTTATGAGCATGAGGAAAACAGGGTTCAAAATAAGAGAGATGAAATGACATGAGGACAGGGTACAGCAAAGTCACAAAGCCAGAAAACTCTACGTTTACCCAGAGGATTGGATTTTTGAGTCCAGAGAGATTTCGGGAAACAATGAGGCGGCATCTAGGATACCACCGTATCCTGCAGGGCTGTGCCGTGCGAACAAGTAACACCCATTTATCTCGGTTGCTGCTCCGGCCATGCAGCCAGGCCCACCCAGAAGAGCTGAAACACACATCCTCGACTGAGGTCTGATGGCTTTTACAGAGGTGTCCAGACCTGGGTGACCTCACACACACACACAGAGAAGCGCGGGGCTCACAGCTCTTGGATAACAACCTGGAAAGCATGCATTAAGCGGGGCAAGCCCCAGATTATCTGGGCAGCTGCTTGGGTCTTGGGGCTCCCCACTGATCCTCACTGTGCTGGACCTGGACCTCCTGCCGGCCCCCAAGGCTGCAAGGCCCCGCAAGCTCCAGCTCAGAGCCACCAGATGAAGGACTGGGAACCCCACCTCGGCCCAGTCCTCTCTCAGCATGGGGGCACAGCATCCTCACAATTATCTGTGGGGAACTTGCCTACAGGGCTCAAGTATTTGCTAAACTGCAAGTGTCCACATCTCCACACACGCGCACTCAAAGGAGCCCACGCGGGTTCCTGGTGACGTCGTTCACCTGTCTGCTTGTTGGGACACTGCACAACTTCCAAGCCATCAGGGTAGGTCGTGCGGGTCGTCTGAGCATTTGCATTGTAGTAAATCTGAAAGCACCAGAAACACCTGTGTTGGGAGGCAGTTTGTTCTCGTTTTGAACCTGAATTTAATCTGGTGAAGTTTTCCCTGTGGTGGGAAAAGTGCCGTCCCAGCAGGTGGGAGAGGGCCGGCCTTGTCCACGGGCACAGCCCACAGCAAGGGGGCACAGGGAGAGGGTTTGTCACCCAAGCCCAGGAGTCAAGACACCGTGGCTCTAGGCTAGTTGGGGAGAGGACTGGGGGGAGGTGGAGTTCCCAGTCCTTCATCTGGTGGGCTCTGGGCTGGAGCCGGCTGGGCCTTGAACCTTGGGGGCCGGCAGGAGGTCCAGGTCCAGCATAGTGAGGATGAGTGAGGAGCCCCAAGACCCAAATGCCTTTTTTGCATTTCCCTGCAAAACACGGAGCCTGCGAGTTAGTTTGGGTGAGTGGAAGAGCACGCGGCGGGCACAGCACGGCTGTGTCCAGACTCTGGGCTTCCAGCATAGCCCTCAGGAAGGGTCAAGAGGCTTAGCTGGAATAAAATCACAGCCACAATAGGGGCCTCTCGTTTTCTTTCTCTCTCTCTCTCTCTTGCTTTTTCTTTCTTTCTTTGCCTGTGAGCCTGTGGAAGAGGCTCCTCTCATCAGGCGAGCTCTGCAGTCTTTCAGGACTCCTGGACCCTGTGCCTCTAAACATGGACCCAAAGCTTGGTGAAAACAGGGAAGTTGACTGTTCTAAAGAAGGAAATGTTTAGAACACAATTTCAAGATGTTTGGGTACTAAGAGACTATTCTCAGTGCACTACAAACCCCGCCCTGACCTCGCTTATCTCACCTCATTCACAATCTGTTTGGTAAATTATTCATGTTTTCTTATGTTAGAATCAAGTTACACCCTGAATCCTCTGCACAACGTTGCCACCCTGGAGATCTTGCCTGTAAGACCTCCAGACTCCTCAGCATCTGTGTTTTCCATGTACAGTCCCGGCACACACAGAGACACGAAGTGTGAACCATGGGGGTCACAGCATCCGCACAGCCCCTCAGCATCAAGGAGGCCCCCAGCTCCTGTGATCTGTGGCTGTCCTCCACAAACACAGCATCTGCTTTTAGCAGGTATGCCCTCATGGTAACAGCGGCTGCCGGCTGCTGAGCAAGGCTGGAGCTCTCTGCTCCACCCACGAGGCGGCTGTGTGGCACGGTGCCTCCTCCCTGCTGTGAAAGCCTCTTCCTGGATGGCATCTCCAGCTTGTGCCAGGAATTAGCTCCTGACCCTGCCTAACTTTGTGGCAATACGAGTGCTACTCTGCCATCAGTGCACATTTACTGTTTACCACTGTTGTTCTAGAGAGTTCCACAGAGGAGACATTATTTAATGGGCTGTGTTACTTCATAGCCATCTTTTGGGTTAGGTCCTAATTATCAGCCACATTTTGCAGAGGCTCGGAAAAGCCGAAAACAAGGACTGAACGATGCAGTGGGAATTCAGAGCCAGGAGGGTGCCGGTGCACGCCTGTGTGGCCACGCAGATCTGAGGGTCTTGCCGAGGTCTCACTTGCCTGAGTGCACCGAGGGGGCAGAACAGCCTGGCTCACAGACAGGCCCGCCCGACTCCACAGCCTGTGTTCTGCCCGCCCCCCTCACCCCATATCCTGAACACCCAGAGGAACAGGGTATGGATTTGCAGAATTCTTCCTAATAACTGACTTGGTTTTGATTTGTTTAAAAAGATACATCCGTCGTACTCACCACTCTCCGATCGGGTGTGATCTTCTTCACGTCACCGTTAGAAAAACGGATGATGGTCGTCTTCTTACCGGCGCTCGGCTCCTTCTGGCTCGGGTCGGGGAAGGTGGTGAAGGCACGAGCTTTGCTCGGAGCCCGTCCTACCTTTATGGAAACACAAAAGCTCCAAGTTGATATTGTGGTTTCATTATTTTTTCTTCCATTCAGAGTCGTTACATGACTGTCGCCTACACGGCATTCTCTACACCGGCTGCCGTATTTCCCTCAAAAATGTACTCACTAAATTGGTCAGGTGCAAATTCCCATCCCGAATCTAGTTATCAATAATGAATAAGTGTACGATTTGTCCCACAAACATCTGTCTTTCATAACAGCTCAGCTCACACAGTGGCCATGAGTCGAGATCATCCAGGCGCAGTGATTTGGTGAGTTTAGAATCCCGGCCACAGGAACTGCAGTAATTACTGTGTAAAAAGTATTCGTGGGACACTTTTCTTTCCTTTCAGCCCCATTCTTCTGATCTGGACTCTCCTACAGTCCACCTCACAGATTTATTGGTTTTAATTAGCTGTCAGCAAATAGTACATAACCGCCTATGCGCAATGCTGCGGTAGGAATGCAGAAACAGTATCTTCGTCTTCACACTGAAAATATGACTCATGTGAAGATTGCCGCAAGAAAATAATCTCAACGTCTGGGGAGTTAGATAAGTGCATGGGAAAATCCCAAATGGCAAAATGTGTTTTTGTGATTCGTACCACATTGTCGCTCTTAAGCATCGCTCAGAAATACAGGAGTTAATTCAACTGGGAAAACACACAGGGAATAAAGCGAATGCTCGGCTTCCTAAATGCCTTCAACCGCCCACCAAGCAAACCTTGACAGTGCGCCACCTGCTGGCCAGGATGACCGCCTCCTATTTGGGGTTTGAACCAAGGCTGCTCCTTCCTCTACTCCCAAACCAGCCAGTAAATGAAGCAAGATGTGTTCAGTTCATATCCGAAGATGAATTTTTAACCAACACTAAACACACCAATCAAGGTCGAAAACAATCACTTTCAGAAGTTAAAAAAGCACAAACAATATTTCAAATGTTTCACATGAAAAGAATCATACAATCTACTTTGGAGTTTATATTATTCAAAGAAACAAAACACAGAAAAGCTGAGAACTTTGGCATATCCCATTCAAGATACACAAGAAGTAGATGCAAGATGAGTCACAAGAAGAGGAAAGTGATGAAGACCTGAGTGAGGGGTGGGGAGCCAGGGACGAGGGGCAGGCAGAGGTGGGGGAATGCTGGTTGTGGGGAGACAGGAAGGATCGCGCTAGCCGAGGGCACAGCGCGTTACCTGGTTCTTGTGTCCTCATCTTTGTGGCTTCGTGAGCGTGAGTGATTGATTCCTCCAGGCACTTACTCGGCCAAGGAGGAACATCACTTACGTCTCATGGAGCCACCCATGGAGACAGCAAGATCAGGTACTCAAATGACCTGGGTTTCCTTTTCCCTGACAAACCACCCCAGCCACGCACTAGAGACAAACACATTTAAGTGAGTTCAAATGTTCCTGCAAGTAGCATTCCCTGTTGTCCACTAATCCAAATGCTTCATCTGCTCACAAGTCATAAATCCACTTTACTGAGGCACAGTTCGCTCAGCAAGCGTGAGGAGGGGTCCCCGTTTCTGACAGGCCAAGCAGAGGCGCGACAGGAACGAACGGCTGAGCGGAACCAGAAGCAGTGAGGTGTTGTCAGGTAGGACTGGGCTCCTCGGGCTCACAAAACACCAGGAGCTGCGGCTGCAGCCGGGGCCCCTCCTGACCCCTTCCTGAGTCAGTGACGGCCACCACCACCTGGACGCGTCCTTCAGGAGCTGAGCTCTCCTCAAGGGTTAAAATGTGGTGGCCAGAAGATACGTGACGCTGTAGTTGGGTTTTTTACTATGTAAAAGACACAAACAAGTGCCCCTCCTAAAGACCATGTTGCCTTATTTACTGAAATGAACCGCAGTCCACAATTCTAGAGGTGTCTGGCCTCTGGGTCAGTGCCCTGCGTGGCCTATCTGGGGGGAGCAGCGTGCAGAGCGCCTGGACATTCCCTCGGAGACACGGACCACCGGCATTCGTCTGCCTGGCCATCTGCATGTCCATTTTCTTCCTGCACGTCCTCCTTTTTCACATCAGTGTCCATGGCCTGTGCTGTGTCTCAGGAAGATGCTGGGTTTACGGGAAGATTCTGCAGAAAGAGCATAACCCTAGTTCCCCATGTCTCCATGAACACTGCAGTAGGAGGCGGGAGAAACACACCTTGCCCTGGCATTTGGCAGCCTCTGTGCTTATGTCGGGGGGCACAGCTGGGCCCTGGGAGGTCAGCACCAGGACTTTGGACCACGTTCTGTGTTTATGAAAGGGGCTCTCTCCCACCTGTATGTGTGCTCTGGGGACAGGGTGGCCACAGTGACAACTGCCACAGTCAGCACCTGATACAAATAACACACAGACAGACATCACTCGCCGTGGCTGCAGCGCTATTTCTAAATGCAGACTGTCAGCCCTGAGGCTTCCAGGAGAACCCATTGTGTGGGTCCCCAAACAAAATAAAACCCCAGGAAAATGATCCCGCCCGTCCACCCACTGAAGATGTGGGTAAGGACAGAACGGAATTGGGCTTTTCCTGGGAGAACAGAAAACACGTGGGACGTGGGTTCTGATGCTTCCTCGCCAGGTGCCGACTTTTACACCTTACATAAGCTCACAGCCCAGGTTTCCTGCCGTAGAGAAAATCATCTCATTTCACTGACGTTTCTGTAAAATGCAGCATGTCATGACTAGACCGCGAGCTAGGGCTCAGAAGTGTGTTTGCTGCACTTGCCTCCGAGTCTATTAATGTCCATTGAGAACTGCAAATCAAAATGATAACAATGAAACTTTGACGTGGGACCTCTGAAGTCATGAAAAAGATGAACCTTGTCTGACTATGGGCTAAATGCAACCAACTTACATTTATAGGAAAGTAAAGTCTGTGTGAAAGGCTGAAAAGTGACTTCACAGGTCTCCTGGGGAGCCGGGTGGGCCACCCATGCAGCAGCCACTCAACCCGCCTACCTGCAGCTGTGCAGTGTTTGCAGAAGAACCGGCGAGCTCATCAGGTTGAACGTGGCTGAGAAATCCGCCCTCAGAACTCTCTGAGACTGAAGAGCTTCCGTCTAAAAAGCAAGCAAGTTCAGTTTAAAAGGGCAATACATATACACCGTGGAAACGTCATTATCCTAACGCAACTGCTAAATCCAATTTAAGCTGCTTGCGAACACGCTCTCTCGTTCATGAGATTACGATACACACCTCAGGTCCGTTCAACAGCAAATGACATTTGATTGTGTAAGGAGCATTAACTCTTTAATGAATATACCCGGTCGGCATTTCTGAGGCATCACTCTCTTTCAAGTATCTGATGGGTGAAGAGATTCGTGATGGAAGGCGCTGCTCTGGCCCTGAAGCTGATCACAGTCCGCAGCAGGCAGACACGGGACACAAAAGCCGACCCCTGCGTCATTGGCTTATGGGACCTATGAAGCCACAGGGGCCGGGGTGAAGGGGCACCACAGGCTTCCATGAGAGTCAGCGGTCAGGGGAACTTCCCCAGGGTGGTGTCACTGTCACCTGTGATGATGCCTGGAGGGTGGCAGAGGTGCTAGCAGTTGTGCGGGAGACAAGGTGTCCCCTTCTACCAGGCACCAGCAAGTAAACTGAGGACTTGTCCGGGGGCCTGAGGGGAGGGGGCGGCAGGACAAAGGTGGCCAGGCTAGTGTAGACCCACTGGGAAAGAGTTTCCCACCCTGCAGAGGAGCGCAGAGGGACCGTGAGAGCACGAAGAGCCTTGGGGGGTCTGAGCAGAGAGATGGCACTGGCCTCACATCTATGGAGCTCCCTGAAAGGCCATGAAGCAGCCTGGTGACAGGAGGCCCGGGGAGCAGACTCGGGAGGAAGACAGTGCCAGGCTGGCCCTGCAGGGCCACACAGGCCTGGGCGGAGGATGGGAAGGAGTCCAGGTGCCAGGCAGCCCAGGGCGGGTGCTGCCCACAGGCTAGGGCTGTGCTGTGCATAAGGGCCACACCTGAGGCTCGGCCACACCTGAGGCTTGGCCACCACATGGGTTCCGTTTCTTTACCGAGAAAGGCTCCCGTGGGGGTCTGAAGCTGCTATGGTCAGTTTCTGGCAGCGACATGGGGAAGGAGTTCTGTCCCGACTCACACAGGGGTGGTCTTGGTGCCTCCTGGTGGGACCAGCAATGCAGAAATTCCCACAGCTGCATAAAGAGCTGGGGCTTGGGAAAGCGGCTGGGCAGGTGCAGAATAAGAGGGCGCTCTGGTAGGGATGCAGGCAACGGCCTCCAAACAGAGAAGGGGAACAAAGCCCCCCGAGTCCACCCAGCCCCACCCAGATGTCTTCTGCTGGGAGTGCACTCAGAGGGATGTGGACGGAAGAACTCAGAGTCTCCAGCCGCGGCCCCTGGAGGTCGGCATGTGAGCTGTATTGGTGGGGTGGGGCCGGGGTGGTGGCAAGACACACAGGTGAGGACCCACCCAGGGAATCAGATAAACAGTGGCCAGAGCTTAGGCGGCTCATGAACGACATGTCCTTGCCGTAGTGAGATGCTCTGCTCATGCCTATCCACAGGAAAGACCTGTGTTTCTCAGGAAGCATGGAAACAGTTTGGGGTCCCTGCCCCCGCTCACCATCTCCTCCGACTGCTGCCATCTGCTCCTGCAGCGTGGCGGCCTGGGAAGCCTGCACTGGTGATTTTCTGCCACTCGAGTTTTGTGGACTTCGGGAAGATGGGTGCATAGCCTGGGGAAATGACAGTCACAGGCTCGCCTTGTCACAAGGTCCCTGCAGCCAGCAATGCCTAGAGCCCAGAGGCCGGGAGCACAGAGCCATCTTTGGCCACGCTCGATTTCCGGCAAGACCCCAGGGCCCACCCAAAGCCCTGCACTCAGCACTACAAGGCGGGTCAATTCTTCTAAAGACTCTGCAGAAATAGACCAACCACAGGGCTCGGGAAAGCAACTGAGTTTAAAACCGCATTCAATTTGTTTGCTTTCTCAGAGTTAAAGACACGTCTGAAGAAATTCAAGGTTTTATCTACAGAAACCTAATCCCTTTAATACATTACTAGGTCTTTTGAATAACAAAGTGAGTACTCTCATTAGGCGGAAGTGGAACTGGATCTGAATCTCTGCTCTACAGCAAGAAGCACTGAGCGTTAGGCTCTTGTTTGAAAGGCAGGCACCCGTGTCCGTGGAAGAACCCAGGACTCCAGGGAGCACCGCGCTCGCCCAGGGTGGGGATATTGTGTGTGAGGGGCTGATGGGATGTGTGTGTTGGGTTCAGAACCTCTGCTTCTCTTTACAGATAAGCACGAAGGGTCACCTTCGGAGGAGCTAAATTGTTAGATGACGATCTTTGTGCCAGGAGAGTGGCACTCTGACTCTTGCGGCCAGTGTATTTGAGCTTTTTCTCTTCATCAGCGGACAGAGGTGAAATCTCAAAAGCAGGTTCCAATGCCTAAAAGACAAAGTGCAGGGAAAATTTACATGTTTTCGAAGGTGAAATAAATTCAAATTCTAATACAATCAAGTGTAATTGGAATGTCCTAGAAAAAAATAGGGCAGAAGGTCGTGGGACGTGGACTGGGTTTTCCCCCTAACATGTTGATGAGAACAGGAACTCTCACGAACGTTCCAGAAGGAACCTTTGCGGAGCCAATGTTTGCTTTGCGTTTCTTATTGTGGTTCCTTGTTTCAAAATGATCACAGGATTCCCAAAGCTCCAGAATCAATAACGCCCAACATGTCTTCCTTTAGGCTCGGGTGTCTTCCCCGGGGAATGTGTTAACGAGGAGGAAATGTGGTGCTGCTTCCAGTGCTGTCACTGCAACTGGTCTGAGATTCGAAATGCAAAGTCCCCACTTTCCCTGTTGTCAGCATAGTCACCTGGAACCCGTGATCCTTCGGGTGGGAGGAGGTGTCTTAGGTCTGGAATGCTACACTATTCCCCACTCTGCCCTCTGAGGAGGAGGAGGAGGGAGTGAGAAGGGGAGAGGGCTGCTGTGAAGGAACCCTCAATGCCAGATCCAGAGTGGCTCACCCACACAGCCATGCCCGCGGTCCCTGGGTGCTCACGCCTCCGCCTTTTAGATGCTCAGTCCCTAAAATTGTGACTACACAGATACAGCGATGCATATTTAAGCTGTGGAATTCACATAACCCATCATCTTTCTTCAAATCAGGTATGCTCTTGTGAGCATAGATGCGGTTCTTAAAAAGAGCCCCATGGTGACCAGTACAAAGCACACAGTCAAAAAGCTATTTGGGAATCCGCTAAGTTCTGATCTGGAAATAAGAGGAGGATGGAAACTGCAGGGCATGGGAGGACTGAATGACACCTCATTGATTCTCGGGTAATGGTTACGGTGACATCTCTCCTGACATACAATGACCGAATGGGGCAGTAGATGCTATTTTTAGGGACTGTCACACAACATATGCAGGGGAAAATCCCTGTGCGTCTTCTCTACCTTCTCCCCACAGAAGGCAGAGAATTCCAGGCTGTATTTGTGGGAATTTCCCCCTCTCTGCCTCTGACAGATGAACAGCCTGCCCGGCTTCTGCTCTTTCCTATGCAGAAGGACTGGGCGCTTTGCTGTGCTGAGAAGCTAAACCCACTTTCCTTCTGAGGCAACAGAAGCCACCTCCATGGAAACAAAACTCTCACAGAGCTCCCAAAGAGTGGGCATAACTTCCAAGATTTCCCGCAATTTCCCGTAGAGGAACTTGTGGCTGGTCTTGCTGTGCTGGGAGAACAGACCCCAGAGAAGGCTCCTCGGGACTGTATTCCATGGGTGCGCGCGCACGTGTGTGTGTGTGTGTGCGTGTGTGTGTGTGTGCGTGTGTGTGCATCTGTGTGTGTTGCAGTCACTGTGCCATATCAGAAATATTCCAAGTCCCGGAGGTACAAATTTAAAAGTTCCCACAATGAGTGCAGGTAGGAAATGTTAGTACTTTTCTTAGTCCACTAAGAAACATCCCCACTCACATTTGGAGGGTGTTCAGGTGGTTTCCTGTGTCGTTACCTGCACAGGTAATCTTAATGATTCAAGTTGTTTAGACCCACGTGCAGGAAACAGAAGCCAGACAAGGCTGTGATAACACTGGCCACATTCACACTCTCTGAGGCTCCTTCTTTGAGCCATGTGATCAAACGTGAAAGCTCAGTGTTCTATAAAGGCAGCTGGTGATGGGACGTGCCGACTACTTCAGGATGAGATGCTGGTCCTTCCTCCGGGATAGAGCAGGGTAGTGAGAGGGACCGGGGCAGGAAAGTCCTGAGCAGAGAAGGACGGGTCCCTGGCTAGGGCTCCACATCCGGGCCTGTGCCCGTGGACCTCGGCATTTCTGCTTTCATGCCGAAATATTGCATTTTCCGAGACCACCCTGACCCACCACGATCCCATCCTGTGCCTATAGAAACTCACATGGCAGAGACACAAGCGGCTGGATGTCGAGAGGAACACACGGGCAGAATGCACCGGAAGACACAGTAGATGCCAGCAGGCCATCAACTGGTGGAATGATGTGGAGTTCGGTGGGGGCGGTCGGACGAGCCTCTGGCCGCTGGGTGGCCCAGCTCCGGTAAACCGCCTTCCCATTCCATCCCCCTGCTGGCTCCGCCTTCTGCTGAGAGCTACCACCACTCAGTAAAAAACCTTGCACCCATCCTCCAGGCCCATGTGCGATCTGATTTTTCTAGTACACCAAGGCAAGAACTTGGGATACAGAAGCCCTCTGTCCTGTGATAAGGCAGAGGGTATAACTGAGCTGATGAACACCAGCTTCCTACAGCCTGAACTGAAAGAGCGCCCTGTAACACACGCCCACTGGGGCTGCCACTGTGAACATTCACCCCCCGCAGACACTTCCGTGGGGTTGTAGGGCCTGCCCGTCTGTACGCTCCCCAAGAGGTCTCAGCAGTGTGGCATGGAAGAAGCGGGCCACACCCCCATCACACACCCTGTGGGGGCGGGACAAGAGAACTTCTCCCGTTTCAAGAGGTCTCTACCTCATGCTACACAGCTGTCCTAGAAGATGAACAGAAGGCTGCCAGGACGCTGAGCTGGCTCTGGAGTCAGCCCGGGTTCAAATCCCAGCTCTGAGTTCTCCAGCCCACGGCTGTGATGGAGTTAGTGACAGCATCCATTTCACAGGGTCGTCATCCAGAGTAAGACCGCTAAACCCCCAATCGGGCCCATGTAAAGTCCCCAGTAAGGCTTGGCTGCTGTTGTCCTGAGACAGCCTGAGCTGTTAGGATTTTAGACGTGAGACACGCACCTGGAGGGCTGGGCTTCTGTCTGCTGGAGTGCCAGGTGAGAGGCCTCATGCATCCAGCTGTCATCAATCATTACTCATGGGAAATGGAGCTGCCGGAAAGACAGCAAGCCCTCCCGCCACCTGCAGCGTGAGCGATACCGATACCACGTCGCCCAGCAATAAAGCCTACATCTTCACAAGGATGCTATTTTTACATAATGCAAACGATACAAAGACACAAATGCACTGTGGGTACCAGCGTGTGCAATCCGCGTCCTGCGTGTGGGGAGGCTGCCGGCTTCTCGGCTTTCCACTGTGGCCGAACCAGAGCTCTCAGCTCTTCTCGGAGCTCCAGGTTCTGCTTCCTCAAAGCATCTATGTGACTCTGGAGTTTCCTGTGAACGTCAGCCCACAGAGACTCCTGTCTCCCGAGCTCTTGGTCGAGTCTGGTGATCTGCTGATGTAATGGCTGTTATTGGGAAGAGAACACCAGAAAACCCCTCAGACATCACAACACCACATTCCCCTGCAAAATACCCAAGCCCTCTCTGATGTAAGATTGACTGTTTCTAGACAACAAGACACTCGATGGGATAAACAAAACGACCACAGCCTTTTCCTTTCTTTTCTATTTTTTTTTCTTTCTTTTGCTTTTTTTTTTTTAGGCAGGGTCTCACTCTGTCACCCAGGTTGGAGTGCAGTGGCATGATCTCAGCTCACTGAAGCTTCAATTTCATGAGCTCAAGTGGTCCTCCTGCCTTGTGGCCTCCCAAGTAGCTGGGACTATAGGCATGCACCACCGCACTTGGCTAATTTTTGTATTTTTAGTAGAGATGGAGCTTTACCGTGTTGTCCGGAGTGGTCTCAAACCCCTGGGCTCAAGTGATCTGCCCACTTCAGCCTCCCAAAGTGCTGGGATCACAGGCATGAGCTACCATGCCTGGCCACAGCTTTATTCTTATTAAGTAGTGTTTATTATGAGTTAGTGCACGTAATATAACCAGATGAGGAGAATGTTGAACTATGATCCTTTGTTAAAACCCTACTACAGCAAAAGGAGGCTGGCATTCTTTTTCCTTTTTTTTTTTTTCCAAGAGAGTGTCTTGCTCCGTCAACCCAGGCTGGAGTGCAGTGGTGCAATCTCAGCTGACTGCAACCTCTGCTTTCCAGGTTTAAGCAATTCTGGTGCCTCAGCATCCTGCGTAACTGGGATTGCAGCACATGCTAGCAAACCTGGCTAATTTGCGTATTTTTAGTAGAGACGAAGTTTTGCTGTGTCGTCAGGTTAGCCTCAAACACTGCGCTGGCGTGGATGTGCAGTCAACAGTTTAAGAATTCTGGAAGGCACTGCATTTAAACCTGACATGTTAGCCTTCCCGTGATCCTTCATTGGACCGTGGAGGCTGCAGCCTTGCCCCGAAGAGAAGCAGGATGGTGATAGAGGTACAGTCCTGCACTGCGTGGCCCTGGCCACAGGGACCCGTGGGACTTTAGTGAGAGTGAGCACTGCCCAACGGGGTCCGGCGAGGAAGCTGGTAAAAGTCAGGAAGCTTGCTGGGATCATGTGAGGCAAATCAACCCCTGAGTTTCTTTAATGAAGCTTTTGAAGTCTGGCGCCTTCTCCTGGACAAGAGGAGAAAGGCTGGAATTTCATGTTTCCTTGAACTCCCCGCCCTGCCTCCCGTCGACTGAGAGAGAAGGTTGCAGAGGACAAGAGCCACATGCCCTCGGAGAGGAGGTGCGGCATCAGCGTCCTGGGGTGGCGCTTTCCTACAGGGGTCTGGAGAGAAAGTCCAATGATGGGCCTCAGGGACAGGAATCAGGGTCCCGCCTGGTGGGACTAACTCTGTCCCCACAGAGCTCAGCTCACCGGCATCTCCCCAGCATTGCTGTCCTCTCTGGGGACCTCGGCTGCCACAGCTGTCTTCTCTGTGTCAGGCGCAGCTCCCGGGCATGGGTCCTCTGGGTGGGTGTCCTCCTTGGGCTCCCCGGCCTCCAGCTGACCCTCCAGCATCCTGGTTTGGAAGGGAAGGGCCATGGGGAGGCCTGAATGCAGTCACCTTACCCCTGAAGGCTCAGCCTCAACCGAAGAGTGAGCAGGAACCACAGCGGCTCTTCTCCCCCTGGGTCCTGTGCACATTCCCAAGCGGGAGGCTGTCCAGGTGAAAGGACACCATGGACAGAGGGTACTGATGGTCCACACCTGGCTCTCCACCATCCTCCATGGAAAACGCTTAGTTCCTAGAAGATCAGCCTGACATCTAATGCACTCTCACCATCCAGAGAGAGGTGTGAGTGGGATGGTCATGGGGTGTGACCAGGATGTGAACAGATGTGAGTGGGTATGTGATGTGAGTGGGGAGTGAGCAGTTGTGAGCTGGTGTGAGGTGTTAGCAGGATGGTTGTGGGGTGTGAGTAGGTGTGAGCCAGTATGGGTGGTTGTGAGATGTGAGTGGAATACTTAGGTGTGAGTGGGCTGTGAGCAGATTGGTTGTGGGGTGTGGGTGGAGTCTGAGTGGGAGGGTCACATGGTGTGAGCAGGATATGAGCTGGTATGATGGGGTGTGGGGTGTGAGCGAATGTGAGTGGAATGGTCGTGGGGGTGTGAGAGGATGTGATTAGGATATCATGGGGGTGTGAGATGGTCATGGGGGTTGGAGCAGAGTGTGAGTGTAATGGTTGTGGGATGTGAGCAGGTGTGAGTGGCATGGTTGTGGGATGTGAGTGGGTGAATGGGATGGTTGTGGGGGTGTGAGCAGGTGTGAGTGTAATGATTGTGGGATGTGAGTGGGTGAATGGGATGGTTGTGGGGGTGTGAGCAGGTGTGAGTGGAATGGTTGTGGGATGTGAGCAGGCATGAGTGGAATGGTTGTGGGATGTGAGCAGGCATGAGTGGAATGGTTGTGGGATGTGAGCAGGTATGAGTGGCGTGGTTGTGGGATGTGAGTGGGTGAATGGGATGGTTGTGGGGGTGTGAGCAGGTGTGAGTGGAATGGTTGTGGGATGTGAGCAGGTGTGAGTGGAATGGTTGTGGGATGTGAGCAGGCATGAGTGGGATGGTTGTGGGATGTGAGCAGGTGTGAGTGGCATGGTTGTGGGATGTGAGTGGGTGAATGGGATGGTTGTGGGGGTGTGAGCAGATGTGAGTGCAATGGTTGTGGGATGTGAGCAGGTATGAGTGGCGTGGTTGTGGGATGTGAGTGGGTGAATGGGATGGTTGTGGGGGTGTGAGCAGGTGTGAGTGGAATGGTTGTGGGATGTGAGCAGGTATGAGTGGAATGGTCATGGGGGTGTGAGTGGGATGGTCGCGGGGGTGTGAGCACGTGTGAGCAGGGAGTGAGTGGATGGTTGTGTGCAGCAATGAGGGAATTCTCGGCCCTTTCATCAGCACCCACCTGGAGGGGCACAGGAGACCCTCCATTGTGTTGAGTCTGAGTCTTAAACCATCAGGGCCGCACTTGTGAACTCACGGTGAAGACGTGGAAAAGAAACACCTTTTTATATGTACAGCATTTATGCCAGTTGGAGGAAACTCACCGCATCAGAAAACAAAAACGAAAGAGAACGCACATCTTTCCTGCAAGCCTGCGGGGTCCTCTGTGAAAGCCGCCTCCACCCTGCCTGGCCCTCTTGGTTGTAGGAAGCCAGCAGCCCCCATTAAACCCTGACTGTTTATTCACAAACCTCTAATTCTATAAAACATGAGAGTGGACAGCTTCACCACAGTGACTGGAGAAATGCTGTTGAAAAGAGTCTCCTGATGGGAGCGAATCAAAGGTCAAGAGCAAGACCTAAGGTCACGGGATCACTGGCCGCTCCTTCCCCGCGGGGACTGGGACAGTTTCTGCGCAGGTGGGCTGGGGTCCGAGGTCCTCACAGCCCTGAGAAAGTGACTTCTTTCCCACTCCTCCGAGGGGATATCCCAGTGTCCTCGGCCCCAAACTCGTGACCCTCTCAGTCCAGAGAAGACCCCTTCCCTCAGCCCAGTACCAGACCTTGTCACCTCACCTGGTCGCTGATGCTGACGTCTGCCAGGACCGGCTCATCTGCGCCGTGTCCCCATGACTGTCCCTGAGCCCTCCCGCCTCCTCTCCAGAGCCCAGAGGGCAGCAGACGCTTCCAACGGACTTTCTGTCTTAAAGGGGCGCGAGCGCCTCACTCAGCGTCACCACCGTGCTAGCTCAGGTCGCAATTAAACACCCAAGCCTGCAATTCTGATATAGAAGCTCAGCGTCAGTGGAGTCCGTGCATCCACAAAGGACACTGGACAGAGTCAAACAGCTCCTCCCAATGCACAAAAAGCAATGTGCCTAGTATCGTCTTCAATATGCAACGTACAGTAGGAGCTCATTTCTCCGAGCAGACATTCCTGAAAAGATACAAACATTCTTCGGATGTCAAGTTATTTACTGGAAAAGCATCTTTATGAAGGAAAAAGAATATATATGAGTTTAAGTAGGAGACAGGATTCAGAATCTCACCATTTCACCCCAAATGCATCTCCATGGGAATTGTCTGTGTGCTTTTTGTGCTAGAGAATGGGTAGTAAGGGGAGTGACGTTCCCGTTAAACCCTGGCCGTCCTTCCCGTCCACGCTGCTGTGTGTGGAAAACACACACCTGTGGCTCACCTGCGCCTGCCTGGGACGTGTGTCACTCGGATGGTTCCGCAAGAGACTCACACACACAACAGGCAGCAAACGCCGACATCGCGAATGAATGAAGAAAATACCACAAGGAGGAAACAGAACGCACTGTTGTCCCGGTGCCTCATTCTCACCATGGGAGTGTGTGTGTTCTGAGGTGTGTGAGGGGTTGTGTGTCCTGAGGTGTGTGAAGTGTGTGTTCTGAGGTGTGTGAGGGGTTGTGTGTCCTGAGGTGTGTGAGGGGTTGTGTGTCCTGAGGTGTGTGAAGTGTTGTGTGTTCTGAGGTGTGTGAGGGGTTGTGTGTTCTGAGGTGTGTGAGGGGTTGTGTGTCCTGAGGTGTGTGAGGGGTTGTGTGTCCTGAGGTGTGTGAAGTGTGTGTTCTGAGGTGTGTGAGGGGTTGTGTGTCCTGAGGTGTGTGAGGGGTTGTGTGTCCTGAGGTGTGTGAAGTGTTGTGTGTTCTGAGGTGTGTGAGGGGTTGTGTGTCCTGAGGTGTGTGAAGTGTGTGTTCTGAGGTGTGTGAGGGGTTGTGTGTCCTGAGGTGTGTGAGGGGTTGTGTGTCCTGAGGTGTGTGAAGTGTTGTGTGTTCTGAGGTGTGTGAGGGGTTGTGTGTTCTGAGGTGTGTGAGGGGTTGTGTGTCCTGAGGTGTGTGAGGGGTTGTGTGTCCTGAGGTGTGTGAAGTGTGTGTTCTGAGGTGTGTGAGGGGTTGTGTGTCCTGAGGTGTGTGAGGGGTTGTGTGTCCTGAGGTGTGTGAAGTGTTGTGTGTTCTGAGGTGTGTGAGGGGTTGTGTGTCCTGAGGTGTGTGAAGTGTGTGTTCTGAGGTGTGTGAGGGGTTGTGTGTCCTGAGGTGTGTGAGGGGTTGTGTGTCCTGAGGTGTGTGAAGTGTTGTGTGTTCTGAGGTGTGTGAGGGGTTGTGTGTCCTGAGGTGCGTGAGGGGTTGTGTGTCCTGAGGTGTGTGAGGGGTTGTGTGTCCTGAGGTGTGTGAGGGGTTGTGTGTCCTGAGGTGTGTGAAGTGTTGTGTGTTCTGAGGTGTGTGAGGGGTTGTGTGTCCTGAGGTGCGTGAAGTGTTGTGTCCTGTGGTGTGTGAGGGGTTGTATGTCCTGAGGTGTGTGAACTGTTGTGTGTTCTGAGGTGTGTGAGGGGTTGTGTGTCCTGAGGTGCGTGAAGTGTTGTGTCCTGAGGTGTGTGAGGGGTTGTATGTGTTCTGAGGTGTGTGAAGTGTTGTGTGTCCTGAGGTGTGTGAGGGGTTGTGTGTCCTGAGGTGTGTGAAGTGTTGTGTGTCCTGAGGCGTGTGAGGGGTTGTCTGTGACCTGAGGTGTGTGAGGGGTTGTGTGTCCTGAGGCGTGTGAGGGGTTGTCTGTGTCCTGAGGTGTGTGAGTTGTGTTTGTGTCCTGAGGTGTGTGAGGGGTTGTATGTGTTCTGAGGTGTGTGAGGGGTTGTGTGTCCTGAGGTGTGTGAGGGGTTGTGTGTCCTTAGGTGTGTGAAGTGTTGTGTGTCCTGAGGTGTGTGAGGGGTTGTCTGTGTCCTGAGGTGTGTGAGGGGTTGTGTGTCCTGAGGCGTGTGAGGGGTTGTCTGTGTCCTGAGGTGTGTGAGTTGTGTTTGTGTTCTGAGGTGTGTGAGGGGTTGTATGTGTTCTGAGGTGTGTAAGGGGTTGTGTGTCCTGAGGTGTGTGAGGGGTTGTGTGTGTCCTGAGGTGTGTGAGGGGTTGTCTGTGTCCTGAGGTGTGTGAGGGGTTGTGTGTCCTGAGGTGTGTGAAGTGTTGTGTGTCCTGAGGTGTGTGAGGGGTTGTGTGTCCTGAGGTGTGTGAGGGGTTGTGTGTCCTGAGGTGTGTGAAGTGTTGTGTCCTGAGGTGTGTGAGGGGTTGTATGTGTTCTGAGGTGTGTGAAGTGTTGTGTGTCCTGAGGTGTGTGAGGGGTTGTGTGTCCTGAGGTGTGTGAAGTGTTGTGTCCTGAGGTGTGTGAGGGGTTGTGTGTCCTGAGGTGTGTGAGGGGTTGTGTGTCCTGAGGTGTGTGAGGGGTTGTGTGTCCTGAGGTGTGTGAGGGGTTGTGTCCTGAGGTGTGTGAGGGGTTGTCTGTGTCCTGAGGTGTGTGAGGGGTTGTGTGTCCTGAGGCGTGTGAGGGGTTGTGTGTGTTCTGAGGTGTGTGAGGGGTTGTGTGTCCTGAGGTGTGTGAGGGGTTGTGTGTCCTGAGGTGTGTGAGGGGTTGTGTGTCCTGAGGCATGTGAGGGGTTGTGTGTGTTCTGAGGTGTGTGAGGGGTTGTGTGTCCTGAGGTGTGTGAGGGGTTGTGTGTCCTGAGGCGTGTCAGGGGTTGTGTGTGTTCTGAGGTGTGTGAGGGTTTTCTTTAGTCTTCCCCAGCTGCTCGTCCTGCGGCAAACACGTGTGGCTGCGGGTCAGGGCTGAGCCTCCTGGGGTTTGGACTGTGGGGACCTTCCCTTCTCTCTGATAGCAGAACTTCCCGTGTTCTGTTCACCCTCCTGGTGCCTTAGCTGCGTTTCAGGCACGGTCTTCCAGGGCCGTTCTGGTCTGAACTTTCTGTAGAGGAAACCACGGCACACCTGTCACTCATCTTTTAAAATCAGAAGCCAATTCCAGAGTCGGCTGCTTGGAGGAGCCGCAGATAGACTTTTTAAGTAGCTTGTCTTTTTAAATTTCTGGTTCAAAGGACTGCTTCTCTAGTGGTACAGACCCTGACAAAAGAAATCACCTTTTCTAAATCTCATCGCTGCAAATGAGCAATGTGACCTGGGAACTAGTCAGATGCATTGAGATTGCAGCTTATCTCACGGGAGGCAGTGGGGTGCATCGTGGATGACTAAGCCTCGGAATACTAAGTTAGGGGGTGGCACCTGTCATCCAGGGAATGACGTGAGCTCACACTATGCTTCAAACCTCACTGATCATAGCAGATTACAGCGAAATACTTGCAGCTGTGTTGAGTTCCTCAAACTAGCACAAAATTCTTATGGTAAAACTCGTGAGAGGTGGAGATAAGAGAATATGAGCCTGTGGTAGAATCCAAATATGAATTCAAAATGTCTGCATACTGTTACCAGTAGCTGTAGTGTGCAGTGACAGAACAGAAAGAGAAAGCTTTTCTACCCACTTTCTAGTTGTTCCCTCAGTGGTGCATTTTAGCACACTCAAAACTCCACGCTTCTTTTGGATTTTATAAGCTCGGTGTGAATGTTGTAAGTGACACACTCCTTTTTTTTTTTTTTCCTGTGTGACCAGGTTTCGCAAGGTTTCCGTCTGCCCAGGCTGGAGCACAGTGGTGCTACCTCAGTTCACTGCAACCTCAACTTCAGGCTCAAGCAATTCTCCCACCTCAGCCTCCCTAATAGCTAGAATGACAGGTCCACACCACCACACCCAGCTGATCTTTGAATTGTTTGTAGAGATGGGCCTCACTATGTTGCACTGGCTGGTCTCAAACCTCTGGATTCAAGCGATCCACCTGCCTCAGCCTCTTAAAGTGCTGGGATTTCACAGTCTTTAAGCATGTGCTCCGTGTAATATTTTGTATAGGTTAAGAAGAAGGAAAGACATTGCCCTTTTAAGCAAAGTGGTAAAGCAACATATAAAAACGATTCAATCCACAACAGTGAGTACTTCAATTAATTACATTCTAAAGTTTTTGTGTTTAAAGTGAATTCGGGGAGGACATAATGCTCTTCAAGATAATGAACGGGAAAAGTGCCCAGTGACTGTCAGCGTCCCAATCATTTACTTACTCTACGTTGTGTTATTTTGTTTTTACAGTAGGACCCAAGGATTAGAAAGGAAATTACATAGTCAGTGATCAGCTGAGACTGAATATGAACAGGGGAAGAAGACAGCTTAGACCTAAAGAGACCTGGGGTCAGGAGACATTTCTAGATAAGCCCATCAGCCAGATGAAATCAACCCATGACTTCCAATACCAGTGCTGAAGAGGCCACAGAGGAGAGAGAATCCTGAGAAGGTTTTTTAAATCTGAAAGTTCTTGATTAAAAGAACTGGAAAGTTTCTTGATATGTGTGTGAAGCCTGAGATTGAGTAGGGGTTCTGAGGGTGGGATGACAGCACATTGAGGCTGGGAGTTTTCTTTCTTTTCAATCTTTCTGTAGGTATACCTCTGTGGATCCCTACCACCTCTGAACCATAGTTACAAGGCCAGTAAATACGTAGGACAGTGTTCCTGCTGCCTGTGGGCACCATGCTCTTCCTAATGACGCACTAGGGACCCCTCATTACTCATGACCTGGTGTCCACATGATGCTATCTGATTGTTCATAAATTTTCCTGGACTCACTTGATATGAAACATGGATACAGTCACTTTTGAAGGAACATGGACTTTACAGGAAACGAAACCCCAACCCTCAACCTCAGAATCTGAGGATTCGCATAAATTTGGCCTTTACACAAAAAAATTACTTAATTTTGGGCAGGTCCCTTAATACAGTATTTGAACTCAATGTCATGCCCCTTTGAGGTCTAAACTCTCAGCTGTGAGTACTAATTT